AAATATAATAAATATTATTTAAATAAATTATTAAAAATATAAAATATAAAATAAAATTATAATTATAACTCTACCGGTACTCTCCTAAATAATATGGTAACGTAGAAATTCTCTTAAACTAATTACAAAAGAGAAAGAATGTAATAAAAATGGTTCTGATTTTTGATGCATTGCAGAGAATATATTTGCTGCAGAGGCAGTTAGGATCCGGATTAATTATGCTACTCGGTTTTAATTTTGGACTTCCAGACTCCAGAGCTGGGCAATCTGTACCTGTATTTGCTAGGATGAAAAAAAAAGTGAGAAATAGAATGAATGAAAATAGAAAAAATTGGAGTAAATGACAATAATAGAGAAATAAAATAAAAATGAGTGTTTATTTTAAGAAAAAATTGAAAGAAAAAGAAATAAAATTATTTTCGAAATTGAATTTTAAATTACATTATCAATTGTTTTTGTAATATAAAAAATAAAATTAAAATTTAATCAATTAAATCATAAAAACAAACTATTTCACATAAAATTAAAAAAGTAATGTTATTTGTATAATAACTTGTATAACATTAATTTTGTGTTTATTTTTATTTATCATTTTATTTATTATAGAGAGTGAAGAGAGTTAGAAGAAAAAAAATTGATGTTGTAAAAATTGTTGTACATTTTTTATTGCGTGTATAGCATTACTCAAAATAAAATAAACATAAAAATTGACTATCAATTCTATCAATTCTTTCAAACAATGGTTGTGTAATTTCTAAGTATATCAGAGAAAAAAAATTGTGAATCTCAGGCCCTAATTTTCTTTCTCATCTATTTTTTATATAACTAAACAACCTCAACCGTTTCATTTCTTATTTATTTTTTATTCATCTCGATTATTTCTCGGCTATGTTCTTTGTACCAAACAAATGGGCAGTAATAAATATATAAGGAGCTCTTGTAATTTAATTAATTTAAATTCAAAACTATTTTAAAAATTATAAACTTTAAATTAAATTTTGTTTAATTGCAAGTAAAAATATATATATTTACTGGAGAAAAGCGTTGACTTGCCTTTTTGCTTAGTTGGATCCGGCGTTGTCAACTTGGCCTTAGTTTAAATCAACGTAAATATAATGTTTCTTATTTTTTATTTTTATTTTTAATATATAAAATATTTTTTATTACTTTATAAGAGAAGAGATCTGTTTATTCTAGAAGTAAGTCTATCTAGATTTACTCTACTTAATAACTCATTTTACATCAAAATTTAATAATCTAACAGTTGAATTTAAAGTTCTTAATGCATAGATCATGTCTGCAAATTTTTAGAAAATTTGAAAATTATTTGATACTTCATTTCATTAATTCAAATTAATAGATAATCATAAAATTATTTTATACATTAATTTGAATTAATAAAATGAAGTATCAAATCATTTTTAAATTTTCTAAAAATTTGCAGACTTAATCTATATATTGAATAAAATAAATCTAGATAAACTTATTCATATATAATCTTCACTGATCAAGTCCATTTATTTTAAGAAGTAAAGCCATATTTTAAATAACAATTCAATATTTAAATCAAAAGATCAAATTTTAGTCTTTATTCGAAAGATATAAATATCAAATTACTTTCTTAAAAATTTTTATTTTTATTTTTATCGCTCATTTTACAATAGTAACCAATATATTTTGCTGAATTTAATTACATAGACTATTAATAAAGTTCACTATATTTATAGAAATAAAAAAATTTATATTTACATAGATATAATATTACTAACCATTATCATATTCGTAAAAAAGTAATGAAAAGTATTGTATAAAAAAATTAATTATAATAATTAAAATAAATTTTAAATAATTTTTTAGTCTCTTGAATATTTTTATTTTTTTAGTCTTTATATAAAATTAGTTTTAGTCATTTCAGATTTTTTAATATATTTTTGATTTTTTTTTGGTTATTACAATTATAAAAGTTTTACTAAATAATAACATGATAGAATGTCACATCTCATTCACACAGGCATGCGTTTTGGAGATGAAAATGACAAAAACAATTTTATGCAAACTAAAAAAAATAAAATATCAAATTATTGGTATTAAAATGACCAAAAACAAATTCATAGATACTAAAAAATAAAATACTAAATTAAGAAAACTTGAAAACATTTAAGCCAAATTAAAATGAAAAAAATCAAAACTCTCATTCGATCATCACTATCGTTGCAAACCCAACCAATGTTTTCATCATTATTATCATCATTAAGCCACGAGCAACTGATTAATGGTGGCGTGTCTTCGCCTTGTGTTACATCGAAAAACTTAGTTTATTATTGGTGTTTTTATTGTTAAATGATTAATGTGAAGGCTAATTAAAGAACTCTTGTCCTATTATTTTATAGTCGTCCTTTATCTTTGTAGTCAATGAAAATCGTAATTCACATTATCAGAAGAACTCGTGGTTCTAATATAACTGTTTGACTAACACGTTTGTGTTAGTGGTGGCTTGTGTGGTTATAATGGTAGAAGAGAGAATAAAAGATTATTATTATTATTGTAACACCCCAATTTTCAAAAAGGTTATTATT